TCAATGGCAGTTACCGAAGGAGTTGGATTCATGAACGGCGAGCGCGAGAAAGGATTAAAGTTGGCATTCATTGACATTAAACGAGCTTACTTTTACGCTCCGGCAAAGAAAGATATATTTATCAGATTACCAGACGAGGATCGTGAACCAGGCATGCGCGGAAAACTATTAAAGTCAATGTACGGAACAAAGGGACGCGGCGAGCAACTGGGAAGACTGTTACATGGACTTTGCTATCGAGGTTGGGTTTAAGAGTGGAGTTGCGTCACCATGCGTATTCAAACATGAGATTCGAGCCTTATGGTTGACGGTCCATGGGGATGACTTCGCGCTATTAGGAGGTGACCATGATCTCGATTGGTTTGAAAATAAGATAAAGGAGGAGTTTGAGGTAAAAGTGAGAGGACGACTTGGACCAGGAAAGGAGGACATGAAGGCGATCAGGATTCTTAACAGGATAGTCGAATGGACTGAGGAAGGGTTAAGATATGAGGCGGATCAAAGGCATGCAGAGATAATTGTGAAAGAGCTTGAGCTAGAGGGAGTAAAAGTGAGGACTGAAGTGCCAGGTGAGCGTATTCCAGTTGAAGAGGGAGATGAGGTAGAACTTTCGCCCAACATGACTAAGAGGTATCAGGCATTGACGGCCAGAGCGAATTATTTAGCTCAAGACAGATCAGACATACAGTATTCAGTGAAGGAGCTTGCTAGAACCATGTCAAAGCCAACAATGGGTTCTTGGAAGGGTCTGGTCAAGCTAGGAAAGTATTTAAAGTACCACAGCAGAAGCAGTTATGTGTACCAATATCAGGAACAGCCCCGAGAATTAACGATTTGGACTGACACGGATTACGCAGGATGTAAGCGAACTAGGAGGTCTACGAGTGGAGGAGTAGTGATGTGGGGTAAACATCTTATAAAGTCTTGGAGCACAACTCAAAGTGTGATTGCGTGATCGTCAGGGGAAGCAGAATATTATGGACTGGTAAAAGGAGGATCGGTTGGTCTAGGACTTCAGGCAGTACTGAGAGATTTTAACCTGGAGGTTGAGATCACCCTGAAGAGTGATGCCACGGCTGCGATTGCCATTGCGAGCAGACGAGGCTTGGGGAAAGTGAGACATATTGAAGTGTGTCAACTGTGGTTACAGCAGAAGGTAAAGGAGGGAGTACTCCGTATTGTGAAAGTAGGAACACATGAGAACACAGTTGATGCATTAACCAAGTATGTCAGTCGTGAGAGCATGAACGCACACCTACGAAACACGAATCAATGTGCATTAACAGGCAGACATGGTCTTGCGCCGGCCACCGAATGTTGACACTCGCAGCTCATTTCTATCAAGCAAGCTGCCTCGATTAAAGCCATCTCCACCCATTACCTCTCACTCTTGGGCGTGAACGAAAGCATGACGGCTCATCAGGTCAACCTCACCATCAACGGGTCCGTGGTCGACCAGGGCCCGCCTGGGGATGGACCGGTTACGCGTGAGAACCTCAACCGCCGTGTTGACGACATCGTCAACGTTGCCCACGCGTTTACCGTGACCCTCACTAACATGGCGATTAACTTTCACGGGGCTCACGACAAACACGTTGACGAGGTGCAAAGGGCCGCCGGTGACATGGCGCAGAGGATCGAGGACTTAACGCGGCAGAACGATGCGTTGATCCACGCCAGTGACGACGTCAACGAGAATCTCAAGAGGGCGCAAGACGAGATTAACGCTCTGATGGCGACGATCACGGAGCTGAACATCCAGAATCGTGACTCGGGGGTTAACACGGCGGAGAATGCGACCAAGTGCAGGCGCATCAACGACAACATTGGTTACCTCCTGAACACCGCCAGACGCCTTACCGAGAACATCGCGCCTCTGCAGGACTTCGAGGGCAAACGGGATGCGGCACTACGCATGTTGGTGGGAGTTACCGAGAGACTTGAAGGTTTACAGAGGTTCTTGAATGACCCGATCAGTTCCTCGGTTACCAGCATCCCGCAGGTGCCTCCGCCGTTGCCCGAGCTGCCCCCAACGGCAGCAATCGCCGAGGCGCCACCCGCTGCCGTTACCGCGGCGGCCAAGGCTAGCCAGCCTCTGGCCCGAGCTTGCGCGGCCTCGGGCGCGCCCCCGGCTCAGGACCTTACCGGCACCGCGCCCGAGACCGGAGGGTTCGGTCGGTCCATGTCGCCGAATAAGATCCCTCAGTCAACGGCGCCGCAACCTGTTTACAAGAGAGCACCCAAGGCCATGCATGAGCGTAAACAGGAATTGGAAGAGTTACTGCAGATCGGCATGAAGATGGATGAAGATCGTGCGCAGAGCAGTCAACGTGACGAAGCACCAAAAGGTCCTGCCCCTGTTGTGAACGTGAGGGCGCCCGAGCCGCCTCCTCCGGGCCTTGGCGAGTCAAGTGCATCGAGCAGCGTTAGTGGCATGAAGCCCCCGCCTCCGGAGCCCAAGAAGTTATCGGTCCAGCACATCCCGCCGCCGCAGCCTCAAGCTGTTAACCGCACGAACGACCAGCTTGCGGCATACTCTCGGAACATTGCCAGGGCTGTTTACCGCCCATTGTACCACGTCAACGGCCACATGCCCATGGTGAACGACAGGAGCGAGGACCGCGACGTCAACTACAAGGCGGAACCTAACCCCAGAGAGGTAGTCGCATTAACGATGAAGACGCGCGACAACTGGCGCAGGTTTGAGGGCAACTTCGTCGGGCATGTGGCGAAGGCGGGATTAACGACTCCTGGCGGTCGGTCCATTCAGGGCAACACGGGGCGGGAGCTTAACGACTATGATGAAGTGTTCGTTGACATCTACGGCCAACATGCTTACGGTTTCATCGGCTACTCCGTGCTGAAGGGCCCGAGCAGCTGGAGATCTCAGTTGACGGAGAAAGAGTTGGCCAAGCACGACGAGTGGGTTGACGCAGTGGGGCACGTACAGTCCTTGTTTGACGACGAATACGTGCCACCACTCCACGTTGACGATCTTCACTCATCGTGGTTTGACGTTCACAGTTGCCCAGACACACAGGTGTACGTCAACAAGGTTCCGGAGATGAACGAGAAGCAGCTTAACGGCCTTCTCTTAACGTGGGCAGGGATGCTGCCCCACGGCAACCCCACTGTGGTCTCTGTTAAGCATCTGGTGGAAGACACTTATGGGCCGCACGGTTACATCTCGACTGGAGTTACCGTAATTCGGTTTGCGACGCCTGACTTGGCCAAGCTCTATTGCCGTTACATGAGCGGCCTCCAGGTGCATTACCGCAACTACTTCATCGAGGACCTCGAGGTCAGGAGCGCCGAGGAGTTAAAGGACAGCATCAACAGGCCTCCAGTCTACTGGCACCAGACCATCCTAGATGTCGCTCTTAACGATCAGGGGTCCATGAGGGCACTTTACCGTGACAATTGGCCTGCTGATCATATCACCGAGCGTAAAAGCGACCATCGTGAGAAGCTCTGCTGGTTTGGATGGTTACCGTGCGACGACTTCCCCAACTGGCTTACCGATCCGACCTGGACTGTGAACCCGTTTACCGGCGCTGCAGTCGAGGAGCACCTCCGAAACAATCCAGGTGGTAAACCTCTGTTGAAGGCCCCCCACGCCAGTTACTGGAGGGCCATCGGCACCTACCACAACATTGTTGACGGGTCCATCAAGAGCTTTGACGAGGGGTGCTGGCTCGATGACGAGGAGCGGATTAACGCGTACCTGGACACCGACTATTACAGCCCGACGCAGGCCCTTAACAGGGTGTCGTCCTACACAGCGGCTAGTGTGGGGCATCGCGGGTTACCGAGGTCCAGGGGCGCACGCGCCCCGTCAGTGAGGCGCCCGCGCCGCTCGTAAACGGCGACCAGTGACCGGCATGCTGTTCTTTTACGCTCTCCCTCATCTCCCCTCTTAACTCGGCTTAGCAATCGTGTTGCAGTGGCTTGTTGAGCTGAATCTGTGTGCATGTGCATCTTTTGTAGTTACCGCAGGTATTGGCGAATAAAAAGCGAAAGCAATCAAAATCATATAAATGCTAGCCTGCCGTATAAGCTTTGGATGCTACGTTTAAACTTGCAACCGCAAGAACGTTTACTTGAGCTCATGTTGCATGTCTGAGAAACGTGGTGCTCGTAAACGTTGTCACGTGATCTTTCGATTTCGGCATTATAACGATTTGTGTGCAGCATGTTGCTTGGTTTAACCTGTCTTTGCGTTTAAAGACACCTCCCCGTCAGCCAGTACGGACTGGCGTCCGAGGGGGGGTGTTAACATGCAAGCGTTCAGGTGACTGGGGAGGAATGATAACCCTGTTGCCTTTGGCTCAAGTGTTTAACGGCTGAAGCTACCGAGACCTGCTTCGCCGTGCGGGCGTATAAAGGTGACCTATCATCATCATTGTTGCCAGGCTCCCGTGCAGAACCCTCCTCGGGGTTTTGCAGGAGGAGAACGAGGAGTAGCAGGAGGAGGACCTCCTTATCCTCCCTTCTCTCCCGTCCTACATATGGTAGTGGTGGGTGAAAATGTGCCCATCACGCAGCGCCGCTCCTCCGCCCGCAGCGCGCACGCGCGATATGCCGCAGGGCGCGAAGGGGCGGCGCGGCGCCGGCGCGCATGCGCGCGGGCGCGGAGGTCGGGGGCGGCCAGGAGGGGGTGATGACTATGGGGGGCGTCGGGGGGGCGTCAACCTCGCCGACAGCCCCACATCGACCCCCGTCGCGGGTAAACACCGCGCGCCGAAGGCGCTCCGACCCCCGTCGCGGCGTGGCGACGAGGCGAGGTTGACCCCCGTGGGGGGGGTACCCCCCCACGCTTATTAAGAAACCCAGAGTAGCGGGGGGAGGATGTCATGGCGGGGGCCATGGTATCTCCCCAGATGTCATGGCGCCTCTGCTCATTTCAGTGCGTCCCCGGCCCCGCCCTGTGCCGCGCACGTGCCGCCGGCCATGATCTGCGCCCCTCCTCTTGGGCGCCCCCCTCTTGGGACGCCCCCGAGGAGGGGCCGCCGCCCGCGCGGCGCAGGCGGCGGGCGCTGGTGGTCGGCGGAGGGCTGGGCGGCCTCGCCGCTGCGCGCGAGCTGAGGCGCGGATGTCCCATGCCTCCCGGGCGGGCTCCGAGCAGGTGGGGTCGGAGGATCGCGCCGCACCGCGAACACCTCGGCGGTGCGGCCCGACGTGGAGCCCGATCTTCTCCACGCCGAGGGCACGGATGCATCGCCGACGCATCGCCGACGCGTCGCCGATGCGGCGCGATCTTCTGGCCCCATCTGCTCGGACCCCTATCTGGGAGGCCTCTAAGTTTAAGTCGGGCGTGTCCCTCTGTAGGAGGAATATTCAAAAATAATCAGAAATTATTTAATCGCTTCGCTCATTCCGCCGGCCCTGGAGCGCTATTTTGCGCCTCTTGGGGCCGTCTTGGGGGCTTCTTGGGGGCTTCTTGGGAGCGTCTTGGGGCTCCTTGGCGGCGTATTGGGCTCCCCTGGGGCCTCTTGGGGGGCTCTTTGGGGCCCCTTGGGGCGGGAGGGGGGGTAGTCGTTGGCAGCCCCCCCCTGTGAGGCCACGATCCTCGTGAGGGGTGGCGAAAAATAGCCTCCCCCCTGGGGATCGCCCGGGGGTCAGCCGGGGATCGGCCGGGGTATTTTTTTTTCGTCCGGGGCCCCCCAGGGGCCGCCCCGCGCGCGCGAACTAGAAATATTGTTAAGTAGTTACCGGAGATCTTAGCACGCCTCTGGCCCGTTGTGCCGGCGAATTGAGTATTTTTTGAGTCTCTTTCGACTATTCTCATTTTTTCGGCCAAAATCCCCCTGTAGGGGGACAGACCCGACCTAACTCTAAGTGCGGGAGGGGTATGCCGATGCCGCTTTGCCCCTTCCTGGCGCCTCACCCCCTGGAGCGCCCCCCTCGCCACCGCCAGGGGTTCGCCTCGGGGTGTTGCCCAGAAAACGCGCCCAGGGAGAGGTCCGGGGAGTGCCGGCGACGGCGTCGGCATCTTCTGCTCCCTTCGAGGCGCCAGTTCAGGGTGACCGTGGTGGATGCCAAGGCCGGCGCCCGGCAACGATCGCGACTGTGCACTGTGCACGAGGCTTCTGGAGGCCTTCGGAGCTTTGAGCTTCGGAGCTTTGAGCTTTCGGGTGTCGGGCGCTGGCAGAACTGGGTTTAGTGGGACTTGGTTTAGTGATGTGTACTACGGGACGCCCCCTCCGCCCCGTTCCACTGACCGGAACTGCCGTCACCCGAAAATACAGCAGCTACGGCAGACCTGGTTCAGTGATTCTGGCTAATTTAGGGGCTCTTCTGTCTGCGGAGGTCTTGGCCCCTTCCAGCCACTGGAGCTCGACGAGAGCTTCGAATCGATGTTGCCGAGGCCCCCGCCTTGCCCTCTGTCGGGCGTGTATTGGTCGACTATTTTTTCGTACTTTCGACTATTTTTTTGACGATTTTGCATTTTTTTACTCCAAAATCTGCCTGTAGGAGGACATGCCCGACCTATGGCTAGGCAAGGGAACCGAGTCGGAGGAGCGCAGGGTTGGAGGCCTGGAAGTGGACACCACCACCAACAGGGGGCTGTGCCCACCAGGGGAGGATTATCTTAGATTTTGGTGTTGGTGTTCATTCGGCCGCATATCGGGTTGACCCAAAAGGGGGTCCAGCGACAGGGGGGTGGTGCAATAGATTTGGCAATAGATTTGTGGGGTTGCAATACGATTGGGGCGTGCAGTACATTCCGGGGCGCAAGTGTATTGCTGGATTTTCGCGTGCAATGTAGTAGTTGCAATACAATGCAATACAATTCTCAGGCGCAATCCATTTGCAATACAATTGCCCCAAGTCTGTTGCACCACACCCTTGCAGCTGGACCCCCGTTGGGTCACCCAAGACCTAAGAAGGCCAAGAATTGCCACCATCACCGAGATCGGGATCTTCTTCCCTCGGTAGAAGCACCCCGCCGATCTTTCGGTGTCGGTGCCAACCTCCGGGCCTCCGCCGACAGGGCTGTCCTCGATCTGACAATCGATGGTGCGTGCCGATTCCTGGGCGTGGCACTGGTCGCTCTGAGTACGCACGATGGTTCGATGTACTCGATGTTTGAGTACACACGATGGTTCGTTTCGATTTGAGTCTTGCTCCAAGGAATGGGGCAAACAAAAGACTTTGATGCTCTTTTGTTTTGTTTTGGCTCCGTGTGTGCAGTTGTCCTTCTTTCCCTCCGTCCTCCGCATCCTGGCCAGCACCGCTACGACAGTTTGCGCAATTTTTGTGTTTCACGGAGTTGCCATCGATTGTTAATTCTTTACGCTTCGCGCATCCCCACCAGCCCATCTCACAACAGCAACTCTTGCGAAGCGTGCCGACAGTTGTGTTTTTCAGGCGTGTGTCCGCTTGGCGCCGCATATCCCCCCTGTTCCTCCTTCTTCCCGCCTCCGACGACGGCGGCGGTGCGGGCCCTCGTTGTGTGAGTCCTTCGGCCCCGTCGTCCTTGTGTGAGTCTTTCGGGACCCTATTCCTGGTGTGAGTCGTTCGGTATCCTCGTTGTGTGAGTCGTTCGGGCCCTTCCTCCTGGTGCGAGTCGTTCGGGCTCGTCGTGTTGTGAGTCGTTGGGGGTCCTCGTGGTGGGAGTCGTTCGGGCGTCTCGTCCTGGTGTGAGTCGTCGGGGCCCCTCGTCCTGGTGTGAGTCGTTCGGGCTCCTCGTGGTGTGAGTCGTTCGGGCCTCTCGTCCTGGTGTGAGTCGGTCGGGCTTCTCGTGGTGTGAGGCGTTTGGGCACCTCGTCCGCGTGCGAGTCGTTCGGGCCCTTCGTCGTAGGAGTCGTAGTAGTAGTAGTAGTAGTAGTAGTAGTAGTAGTAGTAGTAGTAGTAGTAGTAGTAGTAGTAGCAGTAGTAGTAGTAGTAGTAGTAGTAGTAGTAGTAGTAGTAGTAGTAGTAGTAGTAGTAGTAGTAGTAGTAGTAGTAGTAGTAGTAGTAGTAGTAGTAGTAGTAGTAGTAGTAGTAGTAGTAGTAGTAGTAGTAGTAGTAGTAGTAGTAGTAGTAGTAGTAGTAGTAGTAGTAGTAGTAGTAGTAGTAGTAGTAGTAGTAGTAGTAGTAGTAGTAGTAGTAGTAGTAGTAGTAGTAGTAGTAGTAGTAGTAGTAGTAGTAGTAGTAGTAGTGGAAGTAGTAGTAGCTGTAGGAGTAGTAGCAGTAGAAGTAGTAGTGGGAGTAGTAACAGTAGGAGTCGTCGTAGTAGTCGTAGTAGTCGTTGTCGTAGTGGACTCAGGGCGGCCGTCGTCGAAAGCAGCGATCTTCCCCGACCAGTGTTGTTGTCGTTGCCATTCTGGCTTCTAGTATTGGAGTGTGGCTGTGAGCTTCGCTCCGCCTACCCGTAACGCGCGCGCCTTCTGTGTTTTTTTGGCACGAGGTGGCTTGTGTGCGCAAATGCCGCACGTAGCCCAGCATCGCTACGATATCTCCATTTTTGCATCTGATGTGAGTCATATTCTTCTCTATTCGCCCTGCGTTCGTGTCAGCAGGTCGTCGTGGCGGTTAGCGCTCGGTGACATGCAGGCACGGCGGTCAGCGCGAGATGTCTCGGAGACGCGCCACTTTCGAGATTTGATCCGCAGGATCCATCGTCACTGCGACATCAGATCATGGATTCCCCTTCGCACCTATGCACGCATGTATTCGATACAGAAGCACGCATGCATCAAAGGCGGTCCGACACACATCAAGAATGCACAGAAAGACATGCACAGAAGTTCAACGTTGTCCTCTGCCTCTTCCCAAGAGAGTACGAGTGGTGCGCCAGTTTTCCTGCGGATGTTGAGTAGGCACATGTGAAGGTCTGGGAGTCGTCGTTCGAAGTGTCGTCTGCCGCGATCGTGTGCAGGTGACGCGTGGAGCGTTACGGAACGTGTGGGCTGAAGTGGTTCGCTTTGCCTTCTGGAAAGACGGGACACAGTAGATTTAGGTAGAACGCTCTTCGTAGTCGTGCAGGAGTACAGTGTGCGGAGAGGTCTTGCAGGTATGCACGAGCTCGAGGCTCTCAACATGACTGTCGGCGTATCCCGTCTCATTCCATGTAGTGGAGCGAGGCTTATCGTGCTTCCGGGTGTCCAGGGGCCTGGGGCCGTCGTGGGAGACGAGGGCAATTTGGGTGGCGTAGGGTGTCATGTCGTTGCAGATGTGAGTGGTATTCGTCGCAGAGTTGGTTGTTGTATGTAGTGCGTTACGCGTGGTTTTTAGTGCACGAATGGTTCCTGCGTGCGAAGTTGGTTGGTGCATTGTTGCGAGCCGCGGGCTCGAGTCGAGCGCGTCTGCGAGATCATCGGTAGTGAGCGTAGCTCAGCCGTTGTTCACACCGCTGTTCCCATTCAATTCGCTTGGCGAGGTGGCCAATCCTCCAGCACGGTACTCGGGCCATGACCACTCAGACCTTCCACGAGGCTGTGGAGGCGTCTTTCGACGACATTGCTGTGCAAGCGGACGGCGCGGCAGAGAAAGCTATCCTGAAGCCTGGTGTTGAGGGGTTGCATGTGTTCCTTGAAGGGTGTCGCGCTGATGGCGCGAGTAGCGGCGTGAGTGCCGAAACGGTTGCAGTGGAGTCGCTGAAGAAGATGTTCGAGAGCAGGGGTTGGCCTTTCGACAAATCGTTTGGGAGGGCCGATTTGACCGCGCTGCTCGAATCGCTGGGCGAAGCAGGCTCTGGCGGCGAGGAATTGGCGGAGGACATTTCCACTTTGGTGGGTGATCTGCACTCTCGAGCGGCGGCGAAGGAGTTCCCGCTCATTCGCCCGATAGATTTGCGGGCGGAGGACGAGCAGAATGCCGCCGAGGAAGCCATGAGTCTCGTGGAAAAGCTGGATGCTGTGCAGATTCAGAGCTATATTGGTTTTCAGAAACAAGAGTATTTTAAGAATAGTCCTGGAGATCCAGGCACGTCGATGGACGTGAAGCATGCGCAGTGGGCACTCAATTTTTACTACAAGCACGTGCGTGATTTTCTCGCCAAGCAGTCGCTTGACGCCAGGACATTTGCTCACCGGTTTTCCCAGTCGACGTTCATCCCGCTCATCTCCCCGCAGTCGATCGGTGACAGGGAGAAGAAGGTTTTCGCTCGTGATGCCGCGTCGGCAATGAGGCCAGAATTGTTGGAGTTGCTGGGCAAGAATTTGTGCTTAGCTTGGGGTGAGATGGCTGAAGTTGTCGAACTCAGTGGAGCGGACGCCCATGATAGCTTCAGAGAGTTTTTGGAAGAGGACTACTTTCGCATTGTGCGCGAGACGTGCGATGCGAATGCGCACCAGAACGCGGGGGCTGGCTTAGGCGCGCCCGCGTCGTTTCGGCCATTGGTGGACCCGGGGTTTGGAGTCTCCGCAGACGAAGCAGCGGAGCGTAAAACACTCCTCCTGAAGGCATCCGCGGCTGATCACACCTTCGCCGTGACGGGGGTCGCGGAACAATGCAGCCAATTTGTGCAATCGCGCACGGCCAAGCAGAGAAAAATGCCACCATCGGAGCCACCAGAAAAATTTGCGGCATCTCGGTATTACACGTTATTGCGGAAAAGCGTATCGGAGGTTCGTCCTGGGGACTCTGTTCTCCGACGCGCCGAGGAGAGCGCCGTGGCCCATGAGTCCACGCAACTCTCGGATGCGGCGTCGACTTCTGCTTTGTCTGGCATCGATTTGATTCTCTCAGGGCAGGCGTTTGGTCCGACATCGTCGGCGTCCGAAGAGATATTTTCACAAATCTGCGCTGGCAATTCTCCAGTCTTCCGAGGAGGGTGGCAGGTGTCATTTCCAGGGCGTTGTAATTGTATGCGACAGTAATCCTCGCGATGTACATTGCGCGGAGGGTTCTCCGCGGAAGCGGAAGGATCCGTCTTCGGAAGGGAAGGCGGCCGACGTGGTCATGGTGGACAAGACGGGGCCCATCTGCGCGTGCCTATGGGGTGACGCCGCTGAAGATATCTGCAGCATCTGGCGCGCTGTACAGGAGCGTCGCCATCGGGGCGACGCTTCTCCGTGCGTCGTAGACCTGTCCAAGGTTCGCATCCAGGGGGCGGGGAAGAACAATTGGAATGGGGAGTTGCTGACGCGGATTCGTATGTTGACGTCCATCGAAGCTGTTGGCGGGGAGCTGGGCACGACAGTGCAGGTTCTGTCTGCTCCGACGTCAGTGAATCTCATCCAGATGAGGTATGCGGTTCCTCCTTCGGATTGTTGCGTTTCCGTCTTTCGTTCGCTCCGCAACAAATTAAACCCTCCATTCCGGTTGTCGGCCAAAGGTAAAGTGATGGATCTGCAATCGTTGGAGATGTCGCAAGGGGGGAACGCGAAACGGATATTCGATATAGTGGACAACAGTGGTCTGTACTTCACTTGCTGCGCCGTGAAGCACAATGCGGAGTCCCAGACGTTGCGGAACTCCCAGGACGTCGTGGTCTACTACGGCGCAGGCCGCGCGGCCATTGGCAATTCCAAGGGCATGCTTTATCTTTTGAAGGATGCGATGCTAATCCCTATCGGCCAGCCTGCTATGTTGGGCTCCGCGAAAACCGAGCAGCTTACTATTCAGTGACATGGGGGTATCATGCAGTGGGCTCAGGTGGTGTGTGATGTTTCTTCCAGTAGTGGTTCTTACAGAGAGGTGGGACATTAGATATTGCGTCAAAGGGGACCGTGGATGCTGTATACACGGCGTGGGCATCGGTATGTGGCCACTGGTGGGCATGCCTCTACTCATATTCGGAGGCGCTTCGAGTGCGCTGCAGGATCGGACGCAACATCCCGCTGGCGGGACTCGTACTGCGATCTGGCTGGACTCCGTACTTGGGATCTTCGGGTTCTGGTTACTATACTATGTGATGGTGCTGGTTACCCTCGGAAGTGATGGTGGTGGTGATTCTTCTCAGTAAAGATTTATCGGTGGGTGTAGTTTGCGGCGCCGCGCTGAATCAGTGCTGGTTGATGTCGCTGCTCGTGGACTCCTGATCTATCTACACGCTGTCTGAGCGCCTGAGCAGTTCGGCCCGTGCAAACACATGCGTGTTACCTTCATAGTCCTGCCCGTCCGCCTCTGCCTCGTTAGATTCGTTTGAGTCACTAAGCTGCTCCCCTCGACGAGAAGCGGGATGCTGCTGCTTCGTTCAACCCTGCAGGGAATGGCTTCACCAGCATCGACAAAGCGTTTGCTTCCATATTGGCGAGCTCGAAGATCCCGAACGAGAAACAGCGCCAGTTCCTCGAACACTTTGTTCGACGTTTGAAGATTGAGTGGCTGGAGAAGCAGCAGGGCAACGTGAACCATAATTCCGAGGAGCCTCTGCCGGACGTAGTGCGCGGATTTCCGGGCACCGGAAAAAGTGCCGTCATTGCCTGGATGCGGTACATAATGGAGGAAGGTCTCGGTTGGGAGCACGGCGTTCAGTTCGTGTGCTTGGCGTTTCAAAATGCCATGGCGGCGCAGATCAACGGCCACACGGTGCGCCACTGGAGCGGCATCCCGGCGCGGAACGACGACGGGAATGCCACGGGCGACAGGCGCAAGCAGTCCATGAAGTGCGGGGCCCTGCGCGTGATCATCATCGACGAGGTCCCGAGGGCACCGAACGAGTCACTCCATGGAGTACATCGTTGAGTGCCCTCGACGTGGTGTGAGTCGTTCGGGGTCCTCGTGTGTGGACTGTTGGGGCTCTTCCTCTTGGTGTGAGTCTTTCGGGCCCTTCGTCCTGGTGTGAGGCGTTCGAGCTCCTCCTGGTGCGACTCGCGTTGGAGTTCGTGGTCGTGTGAGTCGTTCGGGCCCCTCGTCCTGGTGTGAGTCGTTCGGGCTGCACGTGGTGTGAGTCGTTCGGGCTCTTCGTCACCTCCAACGGCGGCGTCTGGGCAAATTCTGATAATTCTCTAGTGCGCCCCAGGGGTCTCCATGTTTGCAAGACCTGTCGAGGTAATGAGCATAGCTCAGCGCACACACAAGAATACAAATGTTCTGGTGTGAGTCGTTCGGGGTCCTCGTGTGTGGATTGTTGGGGCCGGGCTGCACGTGGTGTGAGTCGTTCGGGCTCTTCGTCACCTCCAACGGCGGCGTCTGGGGAAATTCTGATAATTCTCTAGTGCGCCCCAGGGGTCTCCATGTTTGCAAGACCTGTCGAGGTAAGGAGCATAGCTCAGCGCACACACAAGAAGATATATGTTCTGGTGTGAGTCGTTCGGGGTCCTCGTGTGTGGATTGTGGGGGCTCTTCCTCTTGGTGTACGTTTTCCGGGCCCGTCGTCCTGGTGTGAGGCCTTCGAGCCCTTCCTGGTGCGAGTCGCGTTGGAGTTTGTCGTCGTGTGAGTCGTTCGGGCCCCTCGTCCTGGTGTAAGTCGTTCGGGCTGCACGTGGTGCGAGTCGTTCGGGTTCTTCGTCACCTCCAACGGCGGCGTCTGGGCAAATTCTGATAATTCTCTAGTTCGCCCCAGGGGTCTCCATGTTTGCAAGACCTGTCGAGGTAATGAGCATAGCTCAGCGCACACACAAGAAGATATATGTTCTGGTGTGAGTCGTTCGGGGTCCTCGTGTGTGGATTGTTGGGGCTCTTCCTCTTGGTGTACGTTGTCCGGGTCCGTCGTCCTGGCGTGAGGCCTTCGAGCCCTTCCTGGAGCGAGTCGCGTTGGAGTTCGTCGTCGTGTGAGTCGTTCGGGCCCCTCGTCCTGGTGTGAGTCGTTCGGGCTGCACGTGGTGTGAGTCGTTCGGGCTCTTCGTCACCTGCAACGGCGGCGTCTGGGCAAATTCTGATACTTCTCTAGTGCGCCCCAGGGGTCTCCATGTTCTGCAAGACCTGTGGAGGCAATGTGCATAGCTCAGCGCACGCACAAGAAGAGAAATGTTCGGTATGCAACATTTCCAGGTGAGCATGATGTCCGCGGAGCTGCTGGGCACCCTGGAAAGAGTGGTCAGTGGCGCTGTCCGTGCCAGGGGCACGCGCAAGAAGAGGGCAGGGGAATTGCACCGCGCCTTCGGGGGAGTGAACGTGGTCATGTGCGCTGATTTTTGGCAGTTGCACCCCGTGACGGGCACCTTCCTGGCATCCAACCCTCTGGACGTGCCCGCAGGGTGCGCGCACCGCGCGTTGGAGCTGTTCTGGCAAGACGGCGTCGATAGCGTGCGATCCTTGTGGCAGTTGACCGAATTGATGAGGTGTGACGATGCATGGTACAACTCGTTTCTGGGCCAGTGCAGAGTTGGAAATCTCAGCATGGAGGACTACAGCTACTTCCACGGGCTCCCCACGTTGACGTCCCCGAGCGCGGGTAAGTGCGTTTGCAACGACGACGTGGTGGACGACCCAGTACTGGGCCCGTATCGCAAGACTTGGGGGGGGCGCTTCACCGGAGGGTGCGCCGACATGGCGGCGCTTCTGAAGTCGCCAGAGGGCGAGTGCGAAGAGTGCCGTGCGGAGCGAGGCAAGAGACACAGGGTTCTGACCGACACGGACTCGCTGGCGCCAGAGCTTCGTATGAACTCATTCTGCGGCGCACCTGCTCTGTGCACCTTCAACGTGCCCAGGTGCTTCGCGACGAACCTGCGCGCGAGGGAGTTTGCGAAGCAGAAGAACGTGCAGCTCTCGTGGTGCTACGCTCGAGATGTGCCGCTGCATCCAGGAGATCGCGATCTGCCGAGAAAGAAATTGGACGAGAAGTCGTTCTCCTGGCTGAAGAGGCACGACCAGGAGACGGGCAACATTCCGAGCATCTACCCATTGGCCAAAGGCATGCCCATTCGGTTGACGGACAACGTCGATCGAAGCAGACAACTCTACAGACACCGTAAGGGAGTGATTTACGGATGGACTCTGGCGCCGGATTGCAGTCCCCAGGAGGTCGAGGGCGAGTTCATATTGGATAGGTTGCCCTTGGTTATCTATATCCATTTCCCAGAAGCACAGTGGAGCATAGGGAAGCTGCCGACAGGCGTATACCCGTTAAAGCGGAGATCCAGGACCTGGAAGGTCAACGAGCACACGGGCATCGAAGCCCGACGCGCGGGATTCTGGATTCTCCCCGACTTCGCTTCCACCGCTCACATGATCCAGGGGGCGACGTTGGAAGCGGCATTCGCGGACCTGCAGCATTGGTCCAGCAGGGCGTCCATGACAGCTCAGATTGCTGCTTACGTATGCTTGTCCAGAGTGAAGCGATTGCCAAACATCTGCGTCATGCAGCCGTTCTCGACCTTTCTGTTCGGCCTCGGCAACCCAGTGGGGCCCGAGCGACTGATGCGGAAGCTTTCTGGCCAGATCACAGCAGACGAGGCGATCCATGAATGGAGTACGCTTGATGACGA